ATGGAAAGGATAATATTAAAGTATTCGCAAGAGCTATGGGTTATGAGAATAATAAGTGCATCAGTCAACGTTCGAGGACGAATGTTCCAAAGCCCGCGGTATCAGGTCGATATTACGCCCTGCAATATTATATTACGATGATGTTACACCCTGCATTATTATATTACGATGACGTTATGCTCTGCGGTATTATATTACGACGATGTTACACGTTGTAATATTATACATGAAATTTATCGTAAGATAATCGACGTCAGTTCAAGGACAATATTATTTGGAGATTACAAGCATTATGCTATTTCAAACAGGTGATGAGTAAATTCGTAAAGGTGAGAGGGTAAGCAAATCGAAGAAAGTGAATTTTCATCGAAGTTTGATATTTTGGGATAAAATACGGCCTGAGCTAAAATACCTGGTACTTATGGACTAGTACCATACAAGGTACCACATAACCATGATAGTAAGGTGAATAAAAGTGAGTAGTATTTTAAGTAACTTGAGATAATTCTTAACTATGTCGGTAATTGATTAATTATTGGATTGGTGGGGGATTAATAAGTTGATTAAGGAAAAGGGGTGAAATTTTGGATAAGTTTAAATCCCTGATGTGGCAGCCCCTCCAATTCAAATTAATGACTCATTAGTCATTACTACAAGGTGTCACATTTGGAGGAATCTTGTGACTTAGTCATTACAAGTGGGGACCTCACCCACTAATACAAAAGGCTTCCCAACGCCTAGTGACTAAATAAATATTTCTCTTACTGTTGCCAAACTTTAGGATCAACTTTGTTTTGGATTGAATTGTAAGGAAATGAACAATAAAGCCATCTAAAGTGAGACAAATGACTCAAAGTGTTCCTAACCAAAAACAGTTTGTAACAAAAAACCTCACCAAATGAAAGTCACACTTACTAAGTCATAGATGGAAATACTTCAGCAAACAAGGTGTTTTGCAAAGGGTTTAATTAACGTGACACAAAAATGCTTCAACATGATTTGCAAGATTTCTTATCACCTTAGCAACTTGAGATTTTGTAATATTAAGGGAGTACGGTGCAATATTTCTCAAGAATATCATACAGATTTTCCTCTACTCCGATCTGCCATTACGTGTTGTCACAATTAACGTGTGTTAGAAGGATTGTCAAGAGAATTGCCTCAGGTATGTTAAGGCTATCCCTTCTTTCTTTTGACATGATCCATACTACACAAACAAAACGAGCAAATGCACAACTTCCATAAATGACTCTATTCATAGAAGTATTAAAAAGGCCTACATTCTTGAATTCCCATGTGTCCTATTATTTTATCCTCTGTTCATGGGTCCCAGAAAAATACGTAAGTTGAAAAAGTTTAATTCATGATATTACTCAAAGACATAATGGTCTTATGACATTCCGAAAGATTTTATTAACGTACTTCTCATGCATTGCATTCATGTACATTGACCCATGACCAGATGGTATTATATACTATATATGTATTTTATATGTATATGGGATATGGGAAAAGGTTACAACATTATATACGCACCACCACCTGATTAGCTGGTATACGTTGATGATTTTGCCCAAAGTGGCCGAGATGATATGATGGGATGCCCTCAGAGGCTAATGATGTTATGAAACATGTATCTATGCACGATATGACATTCATATGCATATGCATGACACTATAAGTATTTCATGATTTACAAAGTTTTTCGGACTTACAGGTTGAGTTATTTACTCTATATTTCTTCCATGTCTATTATTACTTATTTATGTGCCTTACATACTCGATACATTATTCGTACTCACGTCCCTTTTGCCTGGGGACGCTGCATTTCATGCCCGCAGGTCCCGATAGACAGGCCGAGAGCCCTCCAAGTAGGCTATCAGCTCAGCGGAAGATATTGATGCGCTCCATTTGCTTCGGAGTTGCTTGTTTGGTCAGCATGATTAGTATATGCATTGATTGGTTTGGTAGCGCTCTGTCCCGACCTTTACAATGTTACGTATTATTAGAGGCTTGTAGACAGATGTCATGTCCACGGATTTTTGTATGGCTTTGTCGGCCTATGTTTTGAGTATATAAAGGATCATGTCGGACTTATAGGCCCGTACGTCATATGTATAAGTTTGGATTACATGTTGGATCGTCGAATGTCGAGTATTTCTCCATGTTTTATTCTACTTATCTCACGATAGCCTCTCTGGCTCATTTACCCATGATAGCATGATACAAAATATATGTTACGTAGATATCCAGTTGAGTAAGGTACTGGGTGCCGGTCGCGGCCCATCGGTTTGGGTCATTAAAAAAGTGGTATCGGAGCAGTTCTGTCCTAGGGAGTCTACAAGCCGTGTCTAGCAGAGTCTTGTTTATGGGTGTGTCGTGCACCACACTTATAAGCAAGAGGCTACGGGGCATTTAGGATTATCACTCTTTCTTCTTACTCTAGATCGTGTGGTAGAGCTCAGTTGCAAGGACTAGGTTTCCTACACTCTATTTTATTCACAATACGATGATGCCTACATCCAGAAATATAGTTGGTAAGAGATTGAATGTGGCTATGGAAGAGTTGAGTCAGAGGAACTCAACTTTTCATCATGCTTATGATAAGTAAATGTGAGGTCTTTAGCAGATCATGTGCATACTGAAAGGTGTAAGCCTCTTGATAAGGAGCCTTGAGGCAAGAATACCTATCTAACTTTATGGTGAACTTATCTTCGAGAGGCTACAGAACTATTAGGACAGTTTCACTCCTTTCATTCCTATCATGCGAGTCTGCTGATCTCGGAATTTAAGCTTTTATCATTCTATTATATCACAGATGGTGAGGACACGAGCTACAATTACCGACGATGCTGCTCTCGGAGCAGGTGTCGCCAGAGGCAGAGGCCGACGAGGAGCACGTGTCGCAGCTAGATCACCTACTAGAGCAGTAGTTGAGAAGCCGCCAGTAGCTCCAGTTGGGGGCAGGTACCGAAGGCGCCTGCTGTTCCCCCCGGACTTTAGGAGACTTTGGCACAGTTCCTAAGCATGTTTGGTACATTGGCTCAGGTGGGGTTGATTCCGGTTGCTCCATCTACTTCATAGACCGGGGGAAGAACTCAGACTCCCGCCGCCCACACTCCAGAACAGAAAGTTCACGTTAGTCAGGTTCTAGGTATCATGGCGACACAGCTTGTGGTTCCAGTTCAGCTTGTGGTCAGGGCAACCACATCGGAGGAAGAGCAGCTTAGACTTGCAAGGTTCATGAAATATGACCCTCCTACATTCAGTGGTTTGGCTTTAGAGGAGTGTCATCGCATTCTCCGCACTATGGGTATTGTGGAGACGAGTGTGGTTGCTTTTACTACGTTCCAGCTTAAGGGAGCGGCTTATCAGTGGTGGCGGGCATATGAGTTAGGTAGCGCGGCCGATGCAGTTTCACTTACATGGGTTAATTTTTCAGAGATGTTCTTGAGAGAGTTTGTACCTCAGTCCCTTCGGGACGCATGGCGCGCGAAGTTTGAGCAGCTGCGCTAGGGCACTATGTCAGTATCGGAGTATGCCATTAGATTCAATGATTTGGCTAGACATGCACCTGCCTTGGTCGCTACAGTTAGGGAGCGGGTCCGTAGGTTCATTAAGGGGCTCAGGCATGATATTTGGTTCATCATGGCTCGGGAGTTGGAGTCGAATGTTTCATTTCAGCAGGTGATAGGGATCGCTCGCCGGATAGAGAGCATGTGGGATCAGGAAAGAGAGGACAGACGAGGCTAGGAGAGAGAAAGGGCAGGCGAGGTCAAGAAAGAGAGGACAGGGAGGCGAGGAGGCCTCGTAGACCGGAGAGATCCATTAGCCATATCGCTTTAATTGAAATTATGAGTTTTTTGCATCAGATATTTGCGACATTAACACTTGGCCTGTGTGATGTAAATATCTGGTATACAACTTAGGAGCAAAATAGGATCTAATTTGTGTTCAAATATTTCAAAATTGCATCTAGACTAAAATGTATTTAAGGAAATGTGGGTGCCTTGATTCTCACATTACATCAATTACTAACTTCAGGAATTGTATTTATTTTTATTTTGTTAAACTTAAAATTTTTATTTAACCAAGTATGTCAATGGTTCATACAACTATAACTATTCTATCTGTCCACTATCCAACTATCCAATCTACTACTGGAACTATCCATTGATAACAATCTCTACATTTTAGTGTTATGTTGGGTAACTATTCTCAGCTGGTAATGCTACTTGCTAATTTTCTGTCCATAAGTATGTAGCTGTACTATAATTTCCTTTATCAGCTACCTTCGTTGATTGCTGAATCTTCTTGCATTCCTCTCAGACCAGATTTGATGTACCCTTGCTGCAAATAGGAATCCAATGACGCCTGGAGTTATTAGTTCTCTTGGCTGCCCATTTGACTTCATCTTCCTAACCTCTGATTGATCTCAAATAGGAATCCAGTGTAGCAATGTGCTCCATATAAACTTTGAGTAGTCACAGTCAAAGAAAAGGCATTTAACTCTGGCAATTATCTTTTCGACTAAACTTCAGGAATTGTTACCGACCGATATGGGGAGAGGCATATGACCAAATTCCAGCAGATATCTTAGAAAATTGGGCAAAGTATAGTGATACTTTTAAAGACTATACATTCAAAGTATAATTGCATTTAGTAGAAAAAAGATTGTGCAATGAAGAGATTATTATTATTATTATTATTATTATTATAAATATTGGTGCTTTTCCCAGTGGCAAGCCAGCAGTTTGTCATACAAATGGAAGTCTTTGTTTCACAAGTTGTGATAATTCAAAGAGTTTCGAATTAAAAGACATCCATCTCTTAAACATAGCAAGGCACTTGTATTCCTGAAACCTTACATAGTGCAGTAGCTTTTATCAATATGTCTATCACTAGTTTCCAAACTTCTCAGGTAAAAACTAGCAACTTTGCACGAAAAACCCAACAAGCCAAGCCAGATATGCAGGGTATATCTCATATTCTATAGGGGCTACTTGGAAAAAAGCTTCTAACTTGCAGCATCCAAATGAACTATACAATGGGAATGTGTCAACTTACATTTAAAATAGAACTGAAACCACATATTTCAAGTGGTACATGCGTCGTTTCTGTGACATTTCTCTATTACCTTGTCTATACATGCTCTCTGTTAGATTTAGAAAATGTACAAGTACAATTCTTCAGCAAGAATCAACTTTCAATCAATTGTCAAGGCATGTTCATCTCACCAACGTTTTCTTCAATCTTGCTCTCCGCTTCAACTTTCAATCTCTGCCAAAAAGGGAATAAAGTAGAGTTTAATTGCGCTGTAGATGACCGGCAAATTTCTTAGATTGATCCTAGAGTGAATTTTCAAAATACTACACTTTGTGTTTCGCTAGGTTTGGAGGATTAACATATTTAATTTGAGCTCACATTAGCCAAAATCTTTCAAGTACAGAATGAATCATTAAGGGCTCGAAAACTCTATACTTCTTCAGCTTCATGCATAAAACTTTTTTTTAATTTTCTTTTATCCTTATTTGCTCCTTTTTCTCTCAACCTATGAATCATTACTACCTTTTTTTCCCACAGGTAGAGATCAAGCGACAAACCTTTGCTGCCGAAGAGTTCTCATTTGACAAGCGTGCAAACATTGTTGTGTAGACCTTTGCATCTTTCTTATTGCTCTCTGCTTGGAGTTGTTTTAGTGTCCTTTGTATCAGTTTCACCTCCCTGAGCAGCAGGAACTCTTTGATTCAATATAGTCAAAAGAAAAAATCTCCAACGATATTTTAAGTCATAAGTTGCATTACCTGTTCTGTGGATCAATTTCCAGGGCCTTCTTGATATCCAATTCTGCCAAGTGCAGATCAGCTGTTTCCATAAAAGCTTGTGCTCTCCTATATAATGCTTTCACATTACAGGACTCAATTTCTAAGACCTACGAGCGATGAGAAAGGAAAAGGACGAATTTAGGCCCTGCTTGCGTGGATTTGAAATGACTGAGATCGCAAATTAAAAGAACAATTGCTTTTAATCAGCTAAACTTGCATCAAGCTTTTTTCATTCTTCAGCATTTGAAACAGCTACCCAGAATTATATTAAAAAGCGAAGGGAAGCACATAGCAGCAGGGATTTCGAAGACCTACAACAGCTCCTGATAGAGAATGGGACGACGGAGAGAAAAGAGAAGAAATTACGCAAAACCATGATACTTTCAAAAGAAAACACATTTCTAGCCCAACATAGAAACACGCATGATCATACTCTTGTCACACTACAAAACCTGCCTATCCATCCAAGTTAAATGAAAATAGCATCGCTCCAATGATTTCTCTTGTTACCTAAGTACATTACCTTGGAACATTGCTTGATAGCTTCCTGGAAATCATTTTGTTTGAGACAACAAGCAGCACCATTCAACCAGCATGACACTCTCAGTGATTTAACTAGCCTTTGGTCATCATCTTCAAAGGTTCCATCTTCATTAATATAATCAACAGCCTGAACAGAAAAAATCCAAAAAAAAAATTAATAAAACGTCTAACAAAACGTCGCACATTCTAAACATTGATGACCAACTCCCTGAGATACCTTCTCATATTTCGTCATTGCTCTTTGATACTTTCCGTTTTTAAAGAGTAGATTGCCCTCTTCTTTCTTCCTTTGGGCCACTTGGATTCTCTCATGTTTATTCATTTCCCAAGGATCCTTTTCCTTGTCCCCCAAAAGGAGAAAGTTAGAACTTTGTAAAATTGTATGTATCAACCCAAAATGAGTAAGACAAGGAAATTTATTAAAATGGTCTTATGCAGTATAAAAAATTTGCCACCAAAGCCTATCAGCTTGAAATGCAGGCATAGATAATGCATCTAATAACTTCTTTCCAGATAGAAATAGGTTACCACAGAAGAAATGAAGGCACCAAATCATACCTGAACTATCACAAGATATACCAAACGAGAGAAAGGACCTTTTGGTGTAGACAGAAGAGCCTTCGTGGATGTTCCGAAAAAGTTTTTGTTAGTGGCTAGTTTGTTCCCTAGTGTGTACCAGGAAATTCTCACAAGTCTGAAAACTATTTGGGTCTACTTAAAAGAAAAGATCTAACTAAATATTGTCAAAAAGAAAAAAAAAACACAGCAATGTATCTGCAGACTTAATCAATCAGTCCTAGCAATAATGTCTGTACCCTATTGGGTGATGTTAAGGTTTCTTCATATGCTCGATCCTTGAAAATTAACTACATTTTCCAAACAGATCATCGGCCTACTTGTTTGGGTCATTTACATATCACTGCGGTAGGAGTTCCAATCCTACATTTGCTGAACCATATGTACTAAGCCAAATATGTCTTAGCATAAAACAGACTTCCATCAGATACCTTTGTGAACTCCAACATCTCAACTTCAAAAACTATGGTTGAGCAAGGAGGAACCATAGCAAGATCCCGCTTCACTTCAGTACTTCCAAACCCATAGTCAGGTTTAATTGTCACTATTGCGTGTTCACCCTTCTTCATCGTAGTAACTGCTTTGTCAAGTCCAGCAACGACATGTTCTACATGCAAAACAGTACAATATAATCATAGCAAGCCAAAGATCGTAGGCGTAGATGCAACAAGTACAGAAGCATCACTGAAGACTTATGGCATACATGCAAGGTTTCGTCATAGAGTAAGTCCATATTACAGAAAATCTAAAAGAGTTTAGAGCTTTCAGAAGAAAATCGTCTAAGAAATTTCATAAAAAAGAAAGTCGTCTAAGAAATGCACCTGATATAACTTTTATTTCTAGTCAAAAGACCAAGGACGTATCACAAAAACCTCAATTTAACATAATAAACCTTAATTATCTTATGATTGTACCGGTGGATAATGAGAATAAATATATCACAACCATAGGTACTTTTCAAATTCATTTCGTTGCACCGACCTTCATCAGTTGTATACTTCAATGCGTCCTCTCCATCAAAGCCTCTTTTCTCAAGCAAAGTGCCATCCTCAAGCTTAGTTGTATATCTAACTGGAGGTTTGAAACAAAGACCAAATAGTTAGTAAATTTTCCATACCCGAGCTGAATCTCCAAAACATAAGCTAATTCTGCAGTTATGCTCCTGAAATTAGCTAAACACATATGTGTGCCTTTCACTGAGCAAGATCAAGGTAACATTTCCATCTTTGCAGTCCCCTTTTCCAGGATGATGGACACAATCTGGCATTTGAAGAGAAGTGAAATCTCACAAATTATCGAGGGTAAAATAACCCACTAGTGAGATTTTACTGGGTCGTTGTTGGTGTTGTATCAAGGGTAAAATAGACAGTATATGACCCAAATGCACACTCATAGTGCCATCCATAGTTCTCTATATCTATGTAATTTTCTGCTGATCCCACTGCTACCAAACCCTTTATGAATAAGTAACATTATGTCAACTATCTGTTTTTATTACCCCAAGGGCGACCAGGTAAAATGCACATAAATTCTGCATACTTACTAGTCACAGCAGCACCTTCGTTTGCAGTGAGAGTGCCTTCCCCCTCTTTTACAATCTTCTTTAAAACACCCAAATCACCAGTCACATTTATCACCGGCTTGAAAGAAACAAGTTCAAGATCAATACTCAGAATTGAACTTGGAGGAATTGAAGGGAAGCCATTTTCAGGATCCTTACCCCCATCAACAAAGGCATCTGCAAAGATTTTGGGGGTAAAAGAAAATATTAAGAATTGAAAGAACTGTTGAAACTTTAACTTTTTACCTAACATAAAAATTAGAACTGTTAAAACTTTTTCAGGCTGATATGGAAGAATATCTTTCTATCATAAAAGTCAGGAAAAGCAACACCAACTTAAAATGATTGCATGACTTCTTGAGCACATTTTTTGCATTTAGCATGGAATTAACAGAGTGAGAGCATGAAATTTCTATAAGTCGAGGAAGCAAGCTATGTTTAAATTGGATTACCAGTTCCTCTATTCTTCTTTTTCAATCAAAGAAAAATAGACTTTTGGAATATAGATTACCAGTTCCTCTATATCAGCATAAGTCTTTTATGACATGGGACAAGACACATACAGAATGGGTACATTTTAACAAATACTATCTACAGAAAAAGTTCAATGTCTTGCAAACTTTATGCTACATAAATTGGTAGAAGATAAGATGCCTTAGGATAACAATATCGAATAAAATAGAGATTGTATAGATAGCCACAGTGTTTTTAAATGTGCTGATACTTTAATTGAAAGGAATGCCTGGTAGATTCCTTGCTTCATGTCTACCTTCTCCACTTAATGTGGTCAGTAGACCTTTTGTAGTGAACTATTTCTTTGTTAAGGTCGTCAGAGTGAGCACACACAGTATGAAATATTTGAACTAACAAAAGGTATATAGCATAAAGGACTAAAACATTAAATTTGTAAATCTGAACTAAATTTTCTCATGAACTAAATGGCTAAAATGCCAAGAAATTATTTCATACTGTACAGTCTGAAACTCCAACCATCCGACAGCTTTATGATAAGCAATTGTAATGTGCAAAAGAAATTAATTTATGTTCCCTTGATTAATGGAGAAACGAGCAAATACATTTCATAGAAACAGTTTTAAACGTTTTAATTAAGGTGACTCCATTAAAATGGTAAGAAAGACGTGTTTTTCCTGCTACATTACCAAATCAACAGGTGACTAGACAGCACTGGATGAGAAATCACCTTCAACCGTTATTATTTAAGTGATTACAAACAAAAAGGAAAAACCTAATAGAAGTCAGTATGACCAGATCCCAGATTCTAGTTGCACTTTACGTCTAAGATCTCACAGCCAGCTCTTGCCTCAGTATGTTAATTAGAAATAAATCAGAAGGTACAACTATCTAGGACCATTTTCTTCATCAATAGGAACACATGCCTTATGTGAGCAGGGAAAATCAAGACTTCTGCTCACTTGATTTACACTCAATTCGCTTTAGTACAATTTATCATTAACAAAAAATGCAATTAGTGGTAATAACTCACAATTCATCTCCCTAATACAGCTAATAATCAGTACTAACTTCCCTATATGGAGTCAAGGAAAAAACCTAGCTATAAATTTAGATATCCTGATAATCTTAACATACCATTCAAGAATTAACATTATGATAAAACTATCCAAACAGAGCAATCTTTCCATCTGAATAGAGAGTGGGCTACAGCTGATGGTTCAATGCGATCAACCCAAACGCATCAATGCACTCAACCACAACTGGAATACCAGTTTTTGAGATTGTCAAACATTTGCCAGGTCCGCTACTCACAAATAATCTAATCTTTTTAGCCATGACTAACATATTATTTATGAATTATACTCCTAAAACACACCCCTCCCATCAAAAAAGGAACCCCGACTACCAACCGAAAGAATGATAGCAAAGAATGAGTTGGAAAGACGTACACTGAGGCTGAACAATTAAATTCACTTTCTCTCCCCTTCTCATTGTCTTGATTGCTTTTGGTAATGCTTGACAGAAATGGCCTAAAAGGAAACAAAATAGGTTAGTCAAATCTAAGGAATGAACCAACAGCTGATAGTACAAGTTTGTTGATTCTAAAGCACAAATGCCAAGATACCAAGGTACCATCTTTGATATAAAACTCCACTCCGTGTTCAGGTGTTTTTGCCACAATGACACCATCAAGCAGCCTCACCACATACTTCACTGCAAAATCAAATTGAAAAAAGCAAGGATATTTTATTTATAAACAGCTAACAAAACATATCACAAGCAAGACCATATAAATGCAGATACTGGCACTAGCAGCAACATCATTGGGTCGAATATTCTTCTCTGTTTTTCTTTTTGTTTCCTTGCAGTTAATTCTTTTGGAGTAAACACAAAACACATTCAAGTACCTAGAACTTCATCCAAGTCATCAGGAGGTCCTATCAGCTCCCCCTTCTCCATAATTTTCTTGATAATACCACCATCCTTGCAGACATCTACCACTGTGATCCATGATACGAGCTCGACCTCAAACTGAACTACAGAATTCGATGAAACTGCATCCAAGTCTGCGGATCCAAAACCAGTTCTTGGGGGCAATGTGAACAATGCCATTTCACCTTTCCTCATCGTGACAATTCCGCAATCCACGCCAGTGGCAACTTTCTCTAACCAACCAAAAGCAAACTAATTAAGCTTAACAAATAGAAACCAAATTATAGATGCAGAAACCCAATATCAGCAAAAGCAATACTCTCTCCGTCCCATATTTTGTCCTTGTTTGACTGGGCATGGAGTTTAAGAAATAAAGACATACTTTTGAAACTTGTGATCTAAAACATTAAACAAGTCATACACATTCGAGTGGTTATAAACATCTCGTTAGTGGTAATATAAAAATTTTAAAACTAAATTATTTCTAAATATATAAATGTGTCTTTTTTTTCGGGGCAGACCAAAAAGAAAAGTATGACGCATAAATTAGGACAAAGGGAGTATATTTTTCCTAGAATCTCTAACAAGAAGAAAAGGTAAAGAGAAATGGCCAATAATAAATTCTAACCATTTTTAGCAACTTTAGACATCATTATTAGTAATTAACAAGTGCACACCAATATAGGAAGTAAACTAGAATGAAGGGGAATAAACATATGTAACCAAGAACTGACCTTCGCCAAGCTTGAACGTAACAGGTTCACCTTTGTCCCTAGTCGAAACACATTTGGTTCCATCACGTAAGCTACCAACATAGTGAACTGCAACTCAATTGAAAAAACAAGAAAAAGGGTACAAAATTTTTATTTAAAAGTTTAATCTTTGATTGAACAGAGTAACAAATTCTTGAAAATTGGTTAGCAGTTACCAGTAACTTCATCACCAAATTCAGGGGTTTCCCAACCAAGTCCAAGCTTAAGAAGCTTCTTCTTAAGACCACTTGAGTGAATTTCCCTTTCGTCACCAATATTGAGTGGTGGTGCTGATTCTATTTCTTCCCCTGCCTCTTCATCATCTTCATCTATAAATGCTTCGGCATTTGCCCTAGAAAATTCCACCATCTCTAACTACTGCTTACTTAGAAGTTAGAATTTATAGCTTAATATAGGGTGTTCTGTGAAGTGATTTATACGGTGGTCGGAGATCGGGCGCCGGTGAAAACCAACGGAGGACTGGTGGTGACCGAATAAGATTAGTGGAGTATGGGCCACTTGTCTGTAGTTTACTGAAAGGGCTACTTTCATTAATAGCACACTATTAAAAACATAATACAAAAGATTAGCTGTCACGCCGGCATGGACGTAACACAGCATTCGGTGCCTAACTACATCTGATCGAGTGAATCAACTGGCTGGCTGAATCAACATGTGATATCATAACATACTATATGCGGAAGATAAATTAACATGTACTAATATACTGAAAGCCTGAATGATAAAACAAAAAACGAAAATACTAAAAATAAGTCTGAAAATAAATGTAGTCAACATTGCTTAACATAAAAAACCTGAGACTCTGTCTAACTGTTACTTTAGTTTATGAAGTCTCTAATGAAGTACTGAAAACAATGACTGTATGTAAATACTAAAAGACTATAAAGTAATAATAATGCCCCGGGAGAACTGGGAATCACCAAGTAACTGGTACGAGAATCCTAGCGCTTTGAATCATCAACCTGTAAGTCATTACCTGCATCGTGAGATGCAGGCCCCGGACAAAAGGGACGTTAGTACATTTGAATTGCGTTGGTATGTAAAGCAACTAAAAGAAAGAATTAAAAATGTTGAAACTGAAACTAAGCTGATAACTGAGAATTGATAATTGAAATGATAAATATTGAAACTGAAACTAAGATGATAACTGGTAACTGATAACTGATATTTGATAACTGGTGACTGAAATTATAACTGATAACTGAAATGATAACTAATAAATGAACTGAACAAAGGAAGTAAGGATATGAATACTCCCTCTTCTGAATAATGAACAACTTGTTTATCTGAATAAATAAACTGCGGCCTCAGGCCCAATATATATATATATATATATATATATATATATATATATATATATATGTGTGTGTGTGTGCAGAATTGCGGCCTCGGGCCCAAGTATACGAATACATAACGGCGACCTCAGATCCAAAATGCATAAAGCATAAACTGCGGCCTCAGACCCAAAGATGCATAAAGCATTAACTGCGGCCTCAGGCCCAAAGATGCATAAAGTATAAACTGCAGCCTCACGCCCAAATACAGGTGTTCAACATTCAGGAACTGAGAATCATACTGCAATACATAATAGTGAAATACTGAATTACACTGAGTTGCATGATACTGGAATACTGGATCACACTGAGTTACATAATACTAGAATATTGAATAGGACTAGACTGAGACATGTATTCTTGAAGTGATTATGAACACTGAAACTTCAACTATTTATGGTATACTAAGTAATCTATACTAAGACTCGGTGGCATCAAACCCAAGTCTATATTAAATACGCATTGAGCTCATAACGTTTAGAATGAAAGTGGTGAACAAGTTATGAAGCTAGAGAATAGAAGTTCTGCAACTATTCAAGGAACTAGGCTAAACTATATTTCTGAGGCAATTAGTAACGTCGTAAAAGAAACGTAGTGTAGGGAGAATCATTAACATTCCCAAACATAGAGAGTTAGTCTCACATACCTTAACTTCCTGCTTTGGAGCGTAATACAACATTCGCCAACCCTTTCAACTTTAATCTATATCAATACAAGTCAAAAGAATTCCATATTAACATTAATTCTCATGTTTTGGTCACTTAAGCATTTTCTCAAACACTTGGTGACATAAATCTTTATAGTCTTTATTAATGGTGTTCTACACCCAACAAGCCATTCTCTTGATCCTAGATAAATTATAAAGTCTCAAATTGTTATAATCAACATCGTTCTTCATCACCCATAAGGTAAACAACACCCTTAACCATTAATCAACAATAAACACCCCAAACCTATAATCGTTCATGCTTTTTTATCAAACCCATCAACTCATATCTCATTAACTAGAGTCTATAATCATTAATCCAATAGTATAATCAATTAGAGGTTGAAGACATTACCTTTTTGAAGTTCAATCCTCTTGAATTTGAGTTCTAGGGCTTCTTCTCTCAACAATGATGTCCCAATCGAATATCTAATGATATGGAGGGTTTACCCATGTTAATAAGATGTTAGAAAATTGAAATTAACTTAGAATCACCATTAGAACTTACCTTGGGTGGTGTAAGGACCCTTAAGGAGTTAGGTTTTTGATAACTGTATAACTGGTAATCGAGGTAAATTAATAACCATAAGACATGATAACTATTTTTGTACTTTCTGATGAGGTTATGCTCCAATATGTACTACTGCCCATTGCATCCCACTTTTAACATCATCTCATGTCTCATTTGTTACCAGCTTATACTCCATAATTATACCCTAATGGGAATCATCCTCTCTAGAACCTTGGGTTTTTCTCGCGCGTCGCTTGGGAATCCAATACATTTGGAATTCGATAGGAAGAGAAGATTACCTATTGCTCTAAGCTTCAAGGCACGATCTAGAGTAGAAAGAAATAAGACAATCCTGGATGTCTTGGTAGTTAACCATTTATATGAGTGGCCGTCACACACATATAAAGGAAACTCCACTAGACACGGCTTTATAGACTCTCTAGAACTCTTGAACCTAGTGCTCTGATACTAAGCTTTGTCACGCCCCGAACCTAGACTTGGACGTAATACGGCACTCGGTGCCTGACTACATTTGACCAAGCGAACCAACTGGCTGGCTGAATCAACATGTGATATCATAACATACTAAATGCGGAAGATAAACTAACATGTACTGATATACTGAAAGCCTGAATGATAAAAACAAAGTGCGGAAATACTAAAAACAAGTCTGAAACATATATGTAGCCAACATTGCTTAACATGAAAAGCTGAGACTCTGTCTAACTGTTACTCTAGTCTATGAAGCCTCTAATGAAGTACTGAAAATAGTGATGTCTGTAAATACTGAAAGACTGTAAAGTAATGATAATGCCCTAGAGAATTGGGGATCACCAAGTAGCTGGTATGAGAATCCTAGCGCTCTGAATCATCAACCTGTAAGTCATTACCTGCATCGTCAGATGCAGGCTCCAGGCAAAAGGGACATAAGTACATTTGAATTGCACTGGTATGTAAAGCAACTGAAAGAAATAATTAAAAATGCTGAAACTGAAACTAAGCTAATAACTGAGAAATGATAATTGATAATTGAAATGATAACTATTGAAACTGAAACTGAGATGATAACTGCTAACTGATAACTTAACTGATAACTGATATCTTATAACTGAATTGATAACTGGTGATTGAAATTATAATTGATAACTGAAATGATTGCTAATAATTGAACTTAACAAATGAAGTAAGGATATGAATACTCCCTCTTTTGAATAATGAATAACCTATTTATCTAAATAAATAAACTGCAGCCTCAGGCCCAATATATACATATATGTGCACAACTGCGGCCTCAGGCCCAAGTATACGTATACATAACTGCGACCTCAGGTCTAAAATGCATTACGCATAAACTGCGGCCTCAGGCCCAAGTATACGTATACATAACTGCGACCTCAGGTCTAAAATGCATTACGCATAAACTGCGGCCTCAGGCCCAAAGATGCATAAAGCACTAACAGCGACCTCAGGCCCAAAGATGCATAAAGCATTAACTGCGACCTCAGGCCCAAAGATGCATAAAGCATTAACTGCGACCTCAGGCCCAAGGATGCATAAAGCATAAACTGCGGCCTCATACCCAAATATAGGTGTTCAACATTCAGGAACTGAGAATCATACTGCAATACATAATAGTGAAATACTGAATTACACTGAGTTGCATGATACTGGATTATTGGATCACACTGAGTTACATAATACTGGAATACTGAATAGGACTAGACTGAGACATGTATTCTTGAAGTGATTATGAACACTGGAACTTCAACTATTTATTGCATACTGAGTAATCTATACTAAGACTCGGTGGCATCAAACCCAAGTCTATATTGAATACGCATTGAGCTCACAACGTTCAGAATGAAAGTGGTGAACGAGTTATGAAGCTAGAGAATAGAAGCTCTACAACTATTCAATGAACTAGGCTACACTATATTTCTGAGGCAATTAGTAACGTCGTAAAAGAAACGTAGTGTAGGGAGAATCATTAACATTCCCAAACATAGAGAGTTAGCCTCACATACCTTAACTTCCTGCTTTGGAGCGTAATACAACATTCGCCAACCCTTTCAACTTTAATCTATATCAATACAAGTCAAAGAGATTCCATATTAACAATAATTCTCATGTTTTGGTCACTTAAGCATTTTCTTAAATACTTGGTGACATAAATCTTTATAGTCTTTATTAATGGTGTTATACACCCAACAAGCCATTCTCTTGATCCTAGATAAATTGTAAAGTCTCAAATTGTTATAATCAACATCGTTCTTCATCACCCATAAGGTAAATAACACCTTTAACCAATAATCAACAATCAACACCCCAAACCTATAACCGTTCATGTTTTTTTATCAAACTCATCAACTCATATCTCATGAACTAGAGTCTATAATCATTAATCCAATAGTATAATCAATTAGAGGTTGAAGACATTACCTTTTTGAAGTTCAATCCGCTTGAATTCGAGTTCTAGGGTTTCTTCTCTCAACAATGATGTCCCAATCGAATATTTAATGATATGGAGGGTTTACCCATATTAATAAGATGTTAGAAGATTAAAATTAACTTAGAATCACCATTAGAACTTACCTTGGGTGGTGGAAGGACCCTTAAGGAGTTAGGTTTTTGAGAGTTCCCCTTTCTAGAGCAAGTTTTTATGTTTTGGTGTTGTAGGGGACGAAATATGGCTTTAAAATGACCCCCACGAGCTCGCCCGCGCACCTGAAGACCTGACCGCACTACTGACCACGCAAAACGGCAGTAACACTGCCTCAAAAGTAGCGCGGTCGCGCTACAGGACGCGCATATTGCATACCATTCTGTAAAACGCGCATAACCTTTTGTACAGAGATCCTCTCAAGATCTATAATATATCGTTGGAAAGCTATTCAAAGGCCTACAACTTTCATGCGTTGAGTGTTTCCAAATTCCTTACACATTGTTATTAAACTCTGCTGGAATATATACCT